CAAAAAGTTTTGGTCGGTGGCTTGTTAGGAACGGGGCCACATAGCAGGAGGCGAGAAGCCAGTGAGCAGAGCTTCATCTGTATTTATAGTGGCCCTCCGTTGCTCTCCTCACTGCCTAAGCTCCACCTCCTGTCCCATCTCCCCCTTCTCTCTTGTCAGTGGAAAAATTGTCTTCCATGAAACCGGACCCTGGAGCCAGAAAGATTGGGGACCACTGATCTAGCCCAGCGGTTAAGAGTCCTGGGATAAGCGCTCGCTTTCTGGTTTGAATCCTCTCTGCCACTTGCCAACTGGACTAGTCTGGGTGGGTCCCCTAATCCTGCTGAGTTTGTTTCCTTACCTGTAAGTTGGGGACAATAGCGCCCCCACATGGGGGTTGATGGGAATACTAAACTGATGCTTGCATGTGTCTGCCCTTCGGCAAGTAGTAAGCTCCGTAAATGCTTAAAAACCAAATTACAGGGGCAGGGGGTGTAGTGGCTCATGCCAGTAATGCTAGCACTCTGGGAGGCCCAGGCAGCTGGATTGCTTGAGCTCAGGAGACCAGCCTGAGCAAGAAATACCCGATCTCTACAAAAAATAGAAAAACTGAGGCAAGAAGATAGTTTCCGCCCAAGAGCTTGAGGTTGCCGTGAGCTACAGTGGTGCCATGTCACTCTACCCAGTTTGACAGATGAGACACTCTCTCAAAAAACAAACAAACAAACAAAAAACCCAAATTACAACTGGAGACAATCGTGCTGGATGGACACTTAGGATCTGGGCACTTTTCTGTATATTCTATATAACACTGGAAACAAAATAAACAGAAACCTTGGCTATGTTTGTAAGTCTCTGAACAAATCGTGTGGATCTGCTGAGCACCTGTTGTGCTCTTCCTAAAAGGAGACTCCGGGCCACATTGCAGAGTGTGATGCTGGGACAATCCCACTGTTAGAACAGGGGCGTTCTATTTCCTTTCTGTTCTTTCCTGTGCCCGTCTCTGACCTCCTCAGAATGTTCTTCCAAAGAAGTGATTGTTACCCCTACCCCCCCCCCCCCCCCACCCCGGCCCCACTGCTTAGCTATCAAATGGTGACACATTTGATGACTTCTGTTTGGTTTAGTCACTGCAATTTTCAAATTGTCACGAAAACACACAGATGCCAGTAATTTCCAAGCGAATAGCAAAGCAACCAAAGACACGAGCTGTGCCCCAGCATGGGGTGCCACACAGACTCGCAGGAGGCACCGACTAGCAGTTTTCTCAAAAAGCATAAATAGAGCGGAACAGCCAATTTTATAATTAACTGGGACTTGGTCTCCAGCGAAGCTTCTGCTCGGCGAAAATGGCCAAGCTGTTGCCAAGACAGTGGACCTTGTCCCTTCCTTTGGGCACTGGCAGACTGGAGGCTTCTTTGCTTTGCACATTTGAGTGCGTTTAATGATTCGCAGTTGAGCTCCGGGTGTGGGAAGGACACTCAGAAGAAAGGCTCAAGCCAGGGTCTGTGGGTGAGGTACCAGCAGGACAGGCTGTGTGTAAAAGGAACAGGGGGCTTCCTACTCACAATTATTAAGAATTTCAAGATGGTGACAGCAGAGGACTAAAGCAACAAGCATGGGCCCCATCTGCACGTGGGGCTCTGCGTGACGGCACTGGTCACACATTCCTGAAGCTGGCCCTGGGTCCTGGATCATGCTTCCAGAAGTTGGGGGGACATCGGTGGGTAGGGTCAAGGAAAATGCAGCTTCTGGGGCTCCAGGACTCAGGATCCCATCAGAGGGAGCACAGGTGGGCATCGGGAGTAAAGTCAACACAAACGAATAAACAGCCAATACAACAACCCTTCCTCAAAGACGATTTGGCAGGAAGTGTTACCACTTCACACACCCTTTGATTCAGCAGTTGTACCTCTAGCACGTTCTTCTTTTTGTCTGCACAAAGCTACAAGGTAACAGATGCTAGAAGGCTTCTCCCAGTGTTTTCTGGGATCCTGACAAGTGGAAGCAGCCAAGTATTCATCAAGAGGGGGTGGTTTCTCTCTGCTGCAGACGGAGACATTTTAAGTAAACTGAGCCGGATGGGGACTCTCCTATGTGCACCCAGCTCCTTTGCAAAGGGCTAGACAATGTTCAGCGTGCCTGGGACTGTCCCCGGGTGGGTGGGGGGCTGCATCTAGGCTGCATCTAGGCTGAGGTGAGCCTAGATACAGTCTTTAACAGGATTCAATATGCCAAAGGAGAAATCTGAGGCGTCTGCACAGCAAAGTGTTAGCGTAGTAATATGGTAGTAGTTGTAGGGGAATGATTAATTTTCTAACTTTATTCACTTCCACATCGTTGGTAATTTTTACAATAACTGCATATTGGCTTTATAATGGGAAACACAATCAGTGAAAATATGTAAAAAAAAAAAAAGACTCTCCGAATATTTTCTGTTCTATTGGTAGAGCAGAAAAAGCTCAAGGGAGGCACCCAGCGTCCGATCTGGCCCTGTGCAGAGCACACATGGGAATGGTGTGGGCTTTGTGGAGATGGAATTCACACACTGTGCGTTTCATGCATTGAATGTGTGCCGGTCACCAACTTTCATTACAGTCCCTGGCTTGTGCAGCCATCAACCCCAAGGAACTGCTGTACCCTTCAGCAGTCGCTCACACAGTCTGTGACAAGGTAGGGGGAGGTCACAGAGACTACACTGGGGGAGCGGTGGAGTGGAGCCACCTGTGCCTGTATCCCTCTACCCTCTCCGTGCCCCCCAAAGCTGATAGCCAGCTACCATGTGCCAGACAGTTGTCTTACCTTCCCTCCCTCAACAAGCTTTCACTTTCAAGATTGTTTCTAGTGCAACCAGCGTGGGCCAGGTCTTATGTGAAAGGAATGCAGGGGCCGGGATATTGGGGAAGCCTGTCCTTGGCAGAGGGGACGGGGGTGGGGGGTGGGGGGGTGGTGGAAGCAAAAATTTGCAGAACCGTCAAACTTGGAAACTGGAAAGGAAGGTTCATGCGGGGAAGGGAAGAGTGTTGAGGACAACATATTTCTGTCAATAGGGTATTTCTAACAGTTCCCGTTTATTCTTTTTGCTATTAGTAGGTGGGTAAAAACTCCTGTCGTGTGGGTTCTTTGTGGGTTCACTGCCCCCGTCAGACTGCTTCTTAATCTGGAAGTGATATTATAACTTTGTCTTTTGTCAGCCTTTAGTCAATATTTTGCCATCCTTCCGCTTTTGACCTTTGCCATTTTGTATTATGTACCTTTTAAAATCAGCATATGCTAAGAGGATGCCGTGAAGGCTACGTTAACCAGTTTGATGAAAGTATTTCAAATTGCATATAAAACCAGCCCACTGTACCCCATGACTGCATTAATGTACACAGCTATGATTTAATAAAAAAAATTTTAAAAATCAGCATATGAATGACTTTTTAAAAAACATAATTGAATCTTCTTCTTCTTCTTCCTCTTCTTTTTTCTTTTGTAGTTTTTGGCCAGGGCCGGGTTTGAACCCACCACCTTTGGCATATGGGGCCGGCGCCCTACTCCTTTGAGACACAGGCCCCGCCCCTGAATCTTCTTCTTTAATAAGAGAGTTCAAATCATCTGTGTTTTTTCTATGTTCTCTTTGCCTTTTATCTGTTTCCGGATAGAACAGAAAAATCTGTTCCAGAACTTTTCCTGGGGTCAGTATGAAGCCCAGATATTATAAAGAATTTTCAGAATGTATTAAATACATTTTTCTGGCTTGGTGCCAGTAGCACAGTGGTTATGGGGTCCGAAGCTGGAGGATTTGAACCTGGCCTGGGCCAGCGGAACAACAATGACAACTTGCAACAACAACAAAAAAATAACTGGGCGTTGTGGCGGGCGCCTGTAGTCCCAGCTACTTGGGAGGCTGAGGCAAGAGAATCGCTTAAGGTTGCTGTGAGTTGTGACGCCATGGCACTCTAGTGAGGGCAACGCAATGAGACTCTGTCTCAAAGAATAAATAAATACATTTTTTCCCATCTGAGGAGATGGGGAGTGTATTGCCTTGCTCTGTCCGGCAGGGGTAGTTTATGGTCTATTCACTGATAGGTATCAGAGCCCAAGTGCATTCCCAGTCTAGTATTTTTGGCATCATTACCATCCCATGGTTTCTCAAAGATTCCATCCAGCAGCAGAAATTTTGTCCCCAAGTTCATTTGAAGCCCCAGACTGTATTTTTCTGGGCCAAGAGATATGCACTGTCTTTTTCTGGGATTCTTTGATTACCTGGAGTGGAAACTTATTCAGTGTAGCTTGGGAAGAAGAGGGGATTAAAGGGAAGGGTGCAGGAACTGGGACTCTAGGGGTAAACCACACAGCTTGCGGTCCCTCCCAGCTCTCCAAGGCTGCAGAGAGTCCCCTCTGTGACCCCTGGAAGCCCCCACGGCTTCCCTGTTCTTGTGCCTGACACCAAGCCCCTCATGTCCTTGGTCCAACATCTTGAGAGGGTCAGATGGGCTCCTGTGATGGGCAGCACCTCTGCCTCTAGTCCTGGTTCCTGCTCTGGTCAGGGGCTGGGGAAGGGGAGGGACAAGTTGGTACTATGTTACAATCAGGAAAACCAGGGCAGATTCATAGAGAAGTGGGGTGGCGGCCGGGAGGAGATCAGAGATTTTCCCAGTAAAAATCGAGTGAAGTACAGTCCCGTCATTTCCTCACCTGTCCTGGTGTTTACTTGTCTATTATGAATATAGGCTCCACCAGACGTGTATCTAAGCGTGTTCTTCTTGCCCAAGAAGGTGGAGACGAGCGGATTGGTCTGGCCCTGCTCTGTCTCTGCAGCCTCACTGGTTTCCAAGGCTCCTGAAGGGGCGGTGGTAACTGGTCAATCTGTCGAGACCAGCTGTGTGTCTATCACCCCTGAGAAGCAGACTCGGGAAGCCTGCCCAGCCCCCAAAGGCCCCAGGCTGATGTCTGAAGACCCGCCAAACCTCAGGGCAGATGCCGTCCTGAGCAGGACTTGCCTGACCCCCCTGCATCTTCTCCTCTTCCTACAGCTCTGACCCCTCCTCTGGTCGAACGAGTCAACTTCCACAGAAGAATCCCCTTCGGCCGCGCCCTGCTGGCCGTTCCCCGCAGTCCTCTGCGGAGAGCTTGTCCCTGGACGGCTTTTGGATGGAGGTGGAGTGGATTCAGCAGCGGGATGAGCTGAGGGAGGAGGACAGCAGCATGGTTGACAGCCAGCCCCCAGAGGGTGAGGGACCCAGTTGGGGCCTGCAGGGTGGGTGGCAGGGCCCCATCCAAGTGGGAAAGTGTGAGCAGACCCAGGCACGAACCAGAACATGAAAGGGTTTTTTCTTTGCTGCCTGGACCATTGCAATATCCTCTTCGCTGGACTCCCTGCTTCACCCTCACTCCCGAGCTCCTGTCCTTCATGCCACAGTCTGAACGACTGTTTAATAATGTAAATTAAATGCTGTCCCTTCTTAGATTAAGTTATTCAGGAAATATTTATTGACTATTTGATAGGCATGGGGGTGCAGCTATGAACACAAAACAAAGTCTCTCTGTGGAGTTAACATTCTAGGGGAATCCCAAGTTCCCTGCTCAGAATCCTCAGCTCTCTCTCCATCTCAAAGTTATAGACAATTGTCTGTCTCTATTATCTATGACTGTGTAACAAACCGCTCCAAACTTAGCAGTGTGAAAGAACAATGATCAGTTATTATTATTATTATTATTATCATCTCACAGTTCTGGGAGTTGACCAGGTTCGGCCAGGCAATTCTCACTCAGGGTCTCTGAAGCGCTGACAGTCCAATGGTGGCTGCAGTTGGAGTTCTCTCAAAGGATTTCTCACTTACCGTGCCTGGCCGGGGATGTGACCCTCAGCTGGGCCTCACTTGGGACCGCCATCTGGAATACCTCCCGGTGGCCTTTGCATGTGACCTGGGCTTCCTCACAGCTTGGCTGGGTTCCAAGCACAGGGGTCCCAAGGGAGAGCCAGGGAGAAGCTGCCTTGCTGTTTATAAGCCAGCATCAGAAGAAAGATGGCTTCCCTTCTGCCATGTTCTGTCACTCTGTGCAGCCCGTATTCAAAGGGAGGGAAATTACGCTCCATCTCGAGGGGGTGAGAGTCAACGAATTGGGAGACATTTGGTAAAACCACCACATCACAGCTCATCAGGCCTTACTGAATTGGCAACAAGCACCCCTCTGCCTCCTCTCCTCCCCTTGGGCTGGTCGTCACTGGCTTTGCCGGCTTCCTTGAGAACCTAAACACATTCCTGCCTCAGGCCTTTTGTCCTTGCTGTTCCCTCTGCCTGGAATGCTCTTTTCCTGGGTATCTGGGTGGCTTGTTTTCTCCAGTCAGGACTGAGCTCAGATGTCACCAGTTTCCCTATGTAAAATAGCACCGCCTGCCCCGTGACTCTTAGCCTCTGCCCAGGCGGCCATAAAAGCAGTTTTATTTGAGTTTTTTAAAATCATCAGTGCCTCATTGACTAACTTGGTCAATACTGGGTACAGCTGAATAAGCCCCATTGATCCTCTCGAGCATGAGTTCAACTTCCTCCACAAGCTCTTGTCCATTTCCTCCATGAGAGAGCCAGTGTTTCTCAGGTGTGATCTGAAGACCCCACTGCAGTACAGTAATCTGGGGAGGACATTCCCAGGCCCCGAGGTTGAACTCCTGGAGCAATTCCTGGAGTTGGGGCCTGTGGTCCTGTCATCATAATATGCCCCTACCAGGGCGGCGTCTGTGGCTCAGTGAGTAGGGCACCTGCCCCATATTCCGAGGATGGTGGGTTTGAACCCGGCCCCGGCCAAACTACAACAAAAAATAGCCAGGCGTTGTGGCGGACGCCTATAGTTTCAGCTACTTGGGAGGCTAAGGCAAGAGAATCGCCTAAGCCAGGGAGTTTGAGGTTGCTGCGAGCTATGACACCATGGCATTCTACTGAGGGTGACAAAGTGAGACTATCTCAAAAAAAAAAATTATATATATATATCTATATATACACATATATATAATTTAGATTCATGATTCTGCTACAGGACCATGGCAATTTCCTTACCAAGCATGGAGAGGACTAATCCACCATAAACAACGTCTTGAATATGGGAAATTTCCCGAGGGGACACCAACTGCTTGCCTGCACACTGGGCCCATGTGACCTTGTGATGGTTTCAGCCAGATTTGATAGAAGTGAGATCATTGCTATATTCCAGAATCGGGACACACAGGGCCCTTCTTTAGCTGGTGCTGTTTCTAAAGAATTATAGTTTATAGATTTAAATACACATACTGGCTAATGCCATTATACCTTCCCCCTCAAGTGTCTCATTAGATCTCCTCCCTGTGGACAGTTTGGCTGGTGTTAATGAGTCTCATGATAAGATGCGGGGAAGCTCTAGTGCTCAGGTGAGGGTGCTTCCAGGTAGGGCTGTGCTGACGTGTGCGGCTGACGTGGAGCTGTGTGTTCATCTGGGTGTTCTCCCTCCACCGGCAGAAGGAGAAGCTGAATCCCAGTGGCTGCAGGACACAGGCCTGTCAGGTCTCCTCGGTGGCCCAGGCTTGGGCAGTGATCACCCGGAGCTCCTGTCCACCCTGACACAGACCCAGGTGGCCGCTGTGTGCCGCCGGGTGGACATTTATACCTGCTCAGCCCGAAGACGACACAAGGCTCCCATCAGAGATGTCAGGGACATCTTTGGGGTCTTCAATTCAGGAGTAAGTGACCTATGGCTCCTTGCAGCCCTGTCTGATGGGAGTCTCTGTGATGGCACCACTGCTTGAGAGATACAATGATTCTTCTGTGGCGCTATGGTGGTGTGTGTGTGTGTTTAGAGTGTGTGGCTTGCACACTTGTGTCTCTCTGCATCCCACTATGTCCCTACGTTGTATGTAGGTCTTTGCTGTGCTTGCCAACATGTCTATGGTTGTTACCACTGTGTGTCTTTGGGTGGACATGAAAGCTTAGGTTCCCTCCCCATAATTATTATCAGTACAATTATAATACTTTTTATCATCACATCTATATCCTGCTGATCCTTCAAGTCTGACATCTTTTTTGGAATAGATTTGAAGTGTAATACAGTGTTTAAAACCATAGGCAGTGGAGACAGATAGACCTGGGTCCAAATGTCCAGTTAGCAGCTGTGGGGTCTTGGGCAGGTAACTGCACATCTCTGAGCATCAGCTGCTGTATCTATGAAGAAGGGGGTGTGGATGGCTCCATCTCCCAGGGTTGTGTGAGTATTCCCTGCTACCTGCATGACTAACTGGGCACTGTCTATAATTTGCATAGGAAGCGTCTTCAGAGAATGGAGAATCAGGTATGAAATGGACCCAGCTCAGCTGCGGGGCTTCTAAATCTCTTCTAGGTAAGGAGCCTTCATTCTCCAGGGCCCTGTGAATCCTTAGGGCTGCTGAATCACAAAGGGCTGCTGTGAAGAGAATGTGCACACCTCTGAGCAGTTCCATCTTCTTGCGGGTTCCCTGCCTTACCAACTGGAGGGAAAAAGGGAGGAGCCCTGAGGGGACAAGTTGGGCTGTTACCAGGCTCAAGGGCCTCAGCTCTAAAAATCACTTCCTGGGCAATAGGACTTCACAAGGAAATCACTTCCTGGGTAATAAGTGTTAGCTAGGAAATCACTTCCTGGGTAATGAGACTTAATTAGGAAATCACTTTCTGGGTAATGGACCTGAGCCCTAAGCCTAGTGATTTGATCCTGGGCTTTGAACTTGAGCCTAGAGGATCACTTCATGGGGCTAAGGGCCTGAGTCCCAAGCCTAAGAACTTGCTTTGGGGCAGCCAGTCCTCATTGCCTCTCTGTTTTGTTTCCCATGACAGCAGCAGAGCCCGGGAGGCCTCAGGAGCAGGCTGGGCAGGAGGAATCCTTCAACATGGACTCTGCCTACTCAGAACAAGCTGCAGCCCTTCTGCAGAGGGCCAGGCCATCCCTGGGAGGCACCTGTGCCTGGGGCAAGGGTTCCCTGCCGGTGAGGACACTGCCCAGAGGGCTGATAGCTAGGTGTGGTCCTTAGAACCAGCACATCCTGCCCGGCCCTTTTACCTCTTCCATGACACCGGGCATTGAATGGGAAAGTTGTTGAATTATTGAAGTATTTAACTCACTCCAGAAATGTTTACTGAGTGACTGCTGGTGATCAAAGACTGGGGAGCAGGGAGCTTACAGTGTAGTAGAGTGATTAATGTTCTCACTGATCCTCTTTGCCTTCATCCTTAGACAGTCCTCTCTCATCTAGCAAACTGAATACTATCCATCAACAGATGTTTTTCTAGCTATTATATATATATATATATATATTTATTTATTTATTTTAGTTTAAAACATAAATATAGCTTTTTTTTTTTTTTTTGAGACAGAGCCTCAAGCTGTCCCCCTGGGTAGAATGCCGTGGCATTACAGCTCACAGCAACCTCCAACTCCTGGGCTCAAGCTAGTCTCTTGCCTCCGCCTCCCAAGTAGCTGGGACCACAGGTGCCTGCCACAATGCCCGGCTATTTTTTGGTTGCAGCCGTCATTGTTGTTTGGCGGGTCCGGGCTGGGGATTCGAACCTGCCACCTTAGGTGTACGTGGCTGGCGCCTTAGCTGGTTGAGCTATAGGCGCCGAGCCAATATAGCTATTTTTTAAAAGTCAATGTGGGTGCCTGGTATAAGAGAGAGAAAAAAATATTTTTTTCCAAATGTTCAATTGCCCTAGCCCAGTTCATTCCAAATTTGGATGTAATCATTGATATTTAGTGTTTTGAAATTGAAGTATAAGTCTCAGTAAAGTATACAGAGATTTACCATGTACTGCTTGATGTGTGTACCTGTATAACTGCCACCCAAATCAAGACATAGAAACTTCCTTCCCCCAGGGCCCCCATGCCCTTCCCAGGTCATCCCCCTCTCCCTGGGGTTACCACTCTTCTGACTTCTTTTGTGAAGTACAGAGTACAGTCCGCTGATACTCTAAGAAGAGTTTCTTCATTGATCAGGTTACGATATGGTTGGATCATCCTGGGTGTCATTTTACTGAGGGATGCTCTGCCTCTCCCCACCCCCCACACTGTTCCCAAGGCTTCCCAGGCACTGGCTTTTTTCCTCACCTTGTCCTTGGAGATGGGTGCTGTAATGGCTCCCCCACTTTATGATAGAAAAATGAGAAATGGAGCTCAGTGAGCAGCCATCAAGGCCAAGACCAGAAACTGTTGGCGCTGACCCTAGGGTTTTTCCCAACTGACCACTATCCTCTCCTGCTGAAGAAGTTTGCCTGCCCCTACCATAACCTCTATTCCGAAGTGGAAGTATTTTCATTTATTCAAATGGAATTTTATTTTACACTTTGTACTTTGCAATACTTTTAGACTCAGAAGAAGTTGCAAAAATAGTACAAAGTTCCCATGTATTACTCTACACCTAATTTCTCCCAGTGATAATATCTTGCATAACCATAGCGCATCAAATAAAACCTTTGAATAATGAGTTTATATTCCTTAAGCATCAGAGATAATTAGTATTCAACATTATCTTGTCTTCCTTGATGATTTTCCCTATTAAATTTTGAAAGATGATGATAATTAATAATGCTAAAGATATCACAGATTGATCTTTACCACAGACTAGGCATTATGCCAAGAACTTTATGTACGTGATTTAATTTCACTCAGTTATGTTGGTGGTAACTGTATAAATAGACTAAAGAAAAGTATTAGTTAATAATTATTGAATACCCACTATGTGTCAGGCATTATGTTTTATGTGCTCTATTGGATTTAATCTCCCCGGCCGTCCTGCGAAGCAGAAACTGTTATTAGTTCCACTTTGCAGATGAGAAAATCAGCAAAGACAAGTAAAATTATTTGCTTGAACTCACACAGCTACCATCAGGGTTTGAACCCAGAAGCCTGACACCATAGCCGGGGCACCAAGCACCAGGCTGTATTATAACCACAACGTTATTAAATACAACCACAGCATGCTCCCTCCCAAACCCCTCCAGACACACTCTGAGCACTCCATTTGGCCAGGTAGTCATCTGGTCAATCCCTCCAGGCAACGCTGGGTAAATCTGTCCCTCTTGCTGGCAGGTCTCAGCTTTGGCGACAGGAACTCAGGGAACTGTCTGCAGCTCCCCCGCGTGGCCTCTAGATGGCGGGGTCGAGCATTGTTTATTTCTGTGCACTTCGCGGCCAGGGCTGAGGATGGAGGAGTGAAGGGAGGGACAAAGGACGAGAATAAGAGCAATGATAAGAGGTGCCTGAGGTGATTCCCTCCCCCAGACCTTCTCGTGGGGATGCAGGGCGTAAAAACGGCTTCCATTATCTGCGACGTCGCTGTGTACTTTGCCCTGTGCTGAACACTTTATACCTAGTAGCTCGATTCATTCTCAAAAAACCCTTACGCGGCCGACCCTAGGTGATGGTTACAGGTGGGGAATTAGAGGCTCAGAGTGTCACCGGTTAGTAAGAGGTAGAGCGTGGACTTGAATCTAGGACGTACCCCTGTGCCCCTGCTCTCACCCACTCTGCCCCCTGTCCTGCGCAAATCCCTGGAAGGGCTGGGAGGGTCCCAAGGTGCGTGTCAGACACAGACGTGCCAGGCTGCTCGGCCACGTCACCTCATCATTCAGTGCTGGACAAATTGCTTTTACTTCCCTCTCTAGAAGTTCAGAATCCACAAAGGCAGACTTGGCGTGACGAGGATAGGAGACTTGTCCCTGCAGGATATGAAGAAGGTCCCTCCGCTGGCCCTCATAGAGCTGACCGCTCTCTGCGACGTCCTGGGCTTGGACCTGAAGAGGAACAAGGCTGGGAAGTGGAAGGCAGCAGGTCAGCCACCCCAGCCCAGCACCAACTCTGCGACCAGTGTCCCAGCTTTCTCCCCTAGGGAGTGGCACCGGGGCTCTCCCACCAAGACAGGCTTCTGTATTTCTTCTGGTTATACTATTTCTTTTTCTCCATATGAAAACAATTCCTGCCTATTGTAGGGAATTTGGAAATGGGGTAAAATACAAAAAGGAAAACTACAATTCAGATAGAAGAACTGTTAACTTTTAGTGTATTGTCTTCCTTTGTGTGTGTGTGTGGCCTTTTTCACTTAAATTTTTTTGTTTTGTTCTGTGGTTTTTGTTCTTGCTTTTTCTCAGTCTGGTCTTGAACTTCTGAACTCAGGACATCCACCTGCCTCAGTCTCCTGGAGCGCTAGGATTACAGGCGTGCCACGGCGCCCGGCCCTTTTTCACTTAATATTATAGAATTACGGACATTTCTCAGTTGTATCATTCAGTGATTGCCATGATAATGCTACATAACAAACATTCCCCCAAACTCTTATTCTTGCCCACATGTTTGTGGGCAAACTGTGTAGTTTGGGTCATGTAGGCTGGGCTGGGCTCTAAGCTGTTGGCTGGGTCTACGTTGGCCTCAGAGGTCTAGAGCGTGTTCTCATGTTGATAGCAGAAGCGTGGAGAGTAACCTCTATCACACCATGGTAGGTTACCATGCCATGGTTCCAAACTAGTCATATGGCCGAGCCCAAAGCAAGGGGTGAGGAAGTACACTCTGCTTTGCAAATGGGAAAAGTCAAAAATTCACAAGGGGAAGAGTGTGGGTACAGGGAGGGGTAATGAATTTGGAATAAATAATGGTATCGGCTCGGCGCCTATGGCTCAACCGGCTAAGGCGCCAGCCACGTACACCTAAGGTGGCGGGTTCGAATCCCCAGCCCGGACCCGCCAAACAACAATGACGGCTGCAACCAAAAAACAGCCGGGCGTTGTGGCGGGCGCCTGTGGTCCCAGCTACTTGGGAGGCGGAGGCAGGAGACTCGCTTGAGCCCAGGAGTTGGAGGTTGCTGTGAGCTGTAATGCCACGGCACTCTACCCAGGGGGACAGCTTGAGGCTCTGTCTCAAAAAAAAAAAAAAAAAAAAAAAAAAAAAATAATGGTATCATTTAGCACAAGTATTAAATATTCTTTGAAAAACGTGGATTTTTTAATTTAATTTTTTTGAGACAGAGTTTCACTTTGTCACCCTCTGTAGAGTGCTGTGGCATCATAGCTCATAGCAATCTCAAACTCTTGGGCTCAAGCAATCATCTTGCCTCACCCTCCCCAGTAGCTAGGACTATAGGTGCCAGCTAGTTTTTAGAGATAGGGTCTCGTTCTTGCTCAGGTCTTGAACTCATGAGCTCAAGCAATCCACTTGCCTCAGCCTCCCAGAGTGCTGGGATTACAGGCGTAAGCCTCCGTGCCTGGCCTGAAAACATGATTTCTAATCACTGCACTATTTTCTTCCTTATGGATGTATCCTAATATATCTCCCCATTTCCTTAATAGTGGGCATTTATTGTGCCCATGTTTTTCTTATTATAAAACACACTTATAATTGCTGTACATATAACTTTGCATCTTAGATTATTTTTGTATGGTTATGAATTAAGTACTTGATACATACTGCCTTTCAATACTATATGACAGTGTTCATCTCACTGCATCATTGTCAGCATTACACATCGTGATTTTTTGCTTCTTTCTCCAAAGACAATCATTATATAAGAAAGACCAGAGGGAGGGGTCTGGCAGAGGTGGGATGGGCATGGAAGGGAAAAAGAAGAAAGTTGCAGGGGAGATGTGGAAGGAGGAGTTTCCCCCAAGAAGACTTCAACCCAGGCTGGTTGAGGAAGAACTGGGGAATATATTTCTCAGGAACTTGGCCCTTAGCATGCCCAGCACTCCTTGGAGCAATAAAGCATTTCCATACCTCTTTATCCATCTGAGATTTGGGGCTCTGTGACATATCTAACATTTTGTTATGGAAGAAGCCAAATGTTCTGCTTAAGAACTGTGAAGAAGGGCTGGGCACAGTGGCTCACACCTGTAATCCTAGCACTCTGGGAGGCTGAGGAGGTTGGAATGGGGAGATCACAGGTCTGAGACCATCCTGAGCAAGAGTGAGACTCGTCTCTAAAAATAGCCAAGCATTGTGGTGGGCACCTGTAGTTCTAGCTTTCTGGAAGGGTGAGGCAAGAGAATCACTTGAGCCCAAGAGTTGGAGGTTGCTGGGAGCTATGATGCCGCTGCACTCTACCAAGGGCAACAAAGTAAGACTCTGTCTCAAAAAAAAAAAAAAAAAAAGAAAAGAAAATGCTGTGGAGATGTTTGGGTTCAGCTGTCTTCTAGAGAGTTCAGTCCTTTCACAGGGAAAGGAGTCTGACTCTAGTCGCTTAGGAGATCTTGCAGGTGGGAGCCCCCCACGCCCCCCCGTCACTCCAGGAAGTGAAATTGCAGCTTCTGCTCTCCTGACTTCCTGCAGAAACTCGCCTCTTTGGTGTGCCCCTTGACAGTCTGCTGGAAGCTGACCACAAAGTCCTCCCCAGCGCACGGGTCCCACTGGTCCTTCAAGCTGTGAGTTGTTCACTGTGTGGGCTTATTTAACCCTTCAGAGGCTGCCTGTGGGCTCCATTTGGGGGAGCTGTCCAGCACAGGAGTAGGGACTTTGGAATCAGGCAGACCTGGGTTCAAATTCTGGCTCAGAGACCTGGGGTGGGTTTCGAACTTCCAGGGACCTCCCTTTCATCATCTGTAAAATGGAATTATAGTAACAGTATCTTCCTCGGATTAACAACTAAATGAAAAAAATGTATATAAAGCTCTCAGAGGCTCGGCGCCTGTGGCTCAACCGGCTAAGGCGCCAGCCACGTACACCTAAGG